ATAATTTGAGTCATGATGTAATTTAGTGCAAAACATTCATCGTTACGGTGAAGACATTTACAAACTCCTTTGGTGCTTTCGCTGTTCTGCACGTTTTCAGCACGCACGAAATTGTTACTCAACCAAATAGTTGAGATTTCGGCTTGAGAGATCGTCGTCTCCTGCTTAACTGAAGGGGACAGCAATGCTCGTCATTGAAAGTTTCTCAAAGCACAGTAGTAAAACCACAAAAGCATGTTTCCGCTCATCACCGAACCTTTTTTCTTCAACCAAATTGTCTAATAAAAAAAAACATATTTTTGAATTGAAAGTGATCAAAAGGCTTAGCTGGATGCTTTAATGAGTTTTTTGCTAAATAGAAAAGTTGGTAAGATTAAAGTGACAGCTGACTTTCTTATTATGAATTACGAAATTAAAGTCGATTCTCATTTCGAGGGCAATCGAGCCCATTAATTTTATTCGGAAGTTCTGTAATGAAATGAAAAATAAATTATCACTAGGTGGTGCCTTCACATCGCCATAATTGGACAAATTGATACAAGGAAGATTTTAAGATTTATAATAAAGCAAACATGCGTAATTATGGTAAACAAGGACTTAAACATAGAAACGTCTGCTGAAGTATCGTCGAAGTCTAGCTGCAGAGGCAACGGGGAGTGTTGGGTAGGCAGGTGAGGCGACGTCTGGTGCCGCAGGTGGTGCTCCTCCGGCTAGAACAGCTCCAACGGGTCCTTCGGGACCAGCAAGACCACTGCCTACTTGTGTTTCTTTTGTAAGTAGACCTACATCACCTCCTGCTGCTGTAGGTGCTTCAAGACCACTAGTTCGAACGGTTTTAACAGCATCCTCTGTTTTCTCCATAGCAACAGCTCCTGTCAATGTTCCGTCTTCTCCTGAACCTTCTGTTTCACCAAGAGCTGCACCGACTGGTTTGCTATCTACAGCCTTCTCCGCAGTGACTAGAGTCTCATCAGTAGCTCGGGCTATAGTTGCTGCATCCTCAGTTCCAATAATACCTGCTTCTCCGGCAGATGCAGTAATAACCTTTTGAGCTTTGTCTTCATTACCAGTAGTTAGGGCCGTATCACCTCCGACTTTCTCTTCAGCTAGGGCAGCGCCAGTAGCACGTAGCATACTACGAGGTGGACATGGGCAGTAGGCAGCATCTGCTCCAGGAGCACCGTTACTTCCCGGCTGACCAGGACCTCCGGGTAGACCGGGTGAACCATTTCTTCCTGGTGGTCCAGGTGGTCCGGCAGGTCCGGGGGCTCCA